CCCATAGGCAGGGTTGGCAGCAGCCAGGATGGAACAACGGGCATTGAGGGTGGTTAGAATGCCTGCCTTGGCAATGGAGATGGTCTGTTGTTCCATGACCTCATGGATGGCTGTGCGGTCGGCCTCAGCCATCTTGTCAAACTCATCGATGCAGCACACACCCTGGTCAGCCAGTACGAGGGCCCCACCCTCTAAGGTTAGTTCTCCAGTTACAGAGTCTCTCAGCACAGCTGCTGTAAGCCCCACTCCAGAGGAGCCGCGACCTGTTGTGTACTGGCCTAAATGGCAGGGTCAGGAAGACAGGAAACAAGCAGACATGTTTAGAAGGGAAAGGAACAAGGAAAAGAGCAAGAATAGGGCAAGGACCCAAGTAATGGGGACAGTGAAATGAGGTCTGCACTGACCTAATTTACTTGCTCACCAGGCCTTCCTGGGTAAAGATCTATGGGGTGCTGGCACTATCTCCCTGCCCCAACCCTCTCCCACCTTTCAAACCCCAAAAGAGAATAAATGTGGCAATCCTATTCTTGTCGTCTACAATTACTTCCTTCCCCAAGTCCGGTTACTCACTGCGGGGGGCCAGGCGATCAATGTAAGACAGGAGCTGAGACTTGGCCACACCAGGATCCCCCATGAGGCAGATGTTGATGTTGCCTGGAAAAAGAAAGCCCCCACAACTATTCTTTTAATGCAAGCTGTCCAGCAATAGAGAAAAGTATTTCTGAAGCCTCCCCTACCACCATACTCAGGATCGTTCCTTCTGATCCATTCTAGTGCCCATGAAGCCAAGATGCCAACTCTTGCCTTCCCTTGTCAGAGCCTCTTCCCCATTTCCTCTTACCCCTGATTTTCATGCCCCGAGGAGACTGGTCCACTCCTCCCACCAGAAGGAGCAGCAGCGCCTTCTTTACATCTTCATGCCCATATATTTCTGGAGCAATGGAAGCTGCCAGCTTTTCGTAGAAATCCTCCTCTGAGGGAAAGTGAAAATTAGGAAAAAAAAAGTGCTAGGAAGAAACATTCCAATCTTTCCCCCAGGCCCTCACCTGCAATTTGCCTCAGCTCCTCCCTGCTCAGCTCTCCAGACCCACACTCATCATCCTCACTCTTACTCATCTTCACAATCCGATGGGCTTCCAGGTAAGTTTCTGAAAGTAAACCCTTGAACAGGAAAAGACCATGATATCAAGTCCACACTGTTCCTTCAGGAAGGAGTTCCAAACAAAACCCTTTGTTTTATTGTCAATAGTTTTCTCTGTGGGTGGAGTGAGAGTGAGTGGGCAAGGGGAAAAAGGGAACATTTCCTCCCTCCAAACCCCCTTTCTTACCTGTACCACCTGTCGGAACCCAGAGCGCAAGATTGGCAAGAAGATACCGGTGACACTGATGTGGTCCCCAGGCTGGGCAATCCGTGTGTTCTCTCCTTCTACCAATACCGTAATGCTACGAGGGATATTTCCCACGGGCACTTGGTCACTCTGGGGGATAAGGGGCACAGACAAGGAAAAAGAAACATAAGGCCCTTTAGGATAAGGTGACCAGACGTCCCAATTTTTTACAATTTGTCCTGCGTCCCAAATTGTTAAAAAGCGGGACGTCTGGTCACCTTACGTTAGGATCTAAGCTCCTGTTCAGGGACCCCGCTCTTCTACTTCTTGACCCACTCTAGCCAACAGGAATACAAAAATACAAAAGCAGAGATCTACTTTACCTCTCCCCAGCTCAATAAAAACATTTCAGTTAAACATCCCTCCTGCCCCAGATGACTTCTCTGCCTCATCTGCTCCTATTCTTTCTTCCACTTCAAGACTAGAGTATTCAAAGTGACTCCCAAGCTCCACCTTCCCTGGGCAATACTCCCAAAGCTCACGTGTTCTTGCATCTTCATCTCCTGGAATTTTATGAACTTGGAGCCACGTGTCTGTAAATATAGTCGCCCTCCTGAACGGTTGGTCTGGCACTCTTGGCTCGGGCACATAATCAAAGGCATGAAAGTGGGAGACTGGATCTAAGATATAAGAAAGCACCAAAGGAAGTCAGAAGAAAACGAGCCACTTAAGAGTCAGCCACTTACATCATGTTTTGTCATGGAACTGTCAAGAACATCTTGAACTATTCTGGAATAACAGTTGACAGGGACCAAAAACACTAATGGGTGAAAAAACCTCTATATACCAGAAAAACAATGATAGGTGAAAACACATATGTATTTTACAACAAACAGGGAAAAGGATACCTCATAGACAGAAATTCTTAAAAAAGATACTAACAAGTACATCCCCGTTCCCTATTTCATACATACCGGCTGGTAGGTCTCTGCCCCACACTGGTCACAAGTGTAAGTAGCCACCACCATTCTGGGTTTAACCTCAGAGACACGAGTGACGATTCCACGCACAGTTACCAATTTCCCTACAGAGTCAGCCTTCACTTCCCGGATCACACGAGGCTTATTACTACTTGGGCCTTGAAAGTACAGCTCACTGAGAGAGAAAACAGTCATTAGCAAGGTCCTGAAGAACCAATTCCCACACCTTTCCCCACTGAGATCACTCACAATCTACGCATGAGTTCAGGAGGGTACTGGTTCTGGGGGCTTCGGGCTGCCCCAGGGTCCCGACTCCGCTGCTCCATCATCAGTCGGTGCTCAATGTAAACATCCAGGACATCTTTACTTATCACCTATAGGCAGAGGAAGGAAGATGGGGAAATGAGTGGCAGGCCCTAGCCAGTTTGGCTCAGCAGATGGAGCGTCGGCCTATGGAATCAAGGGCCCCGGGTTCGATTCTGGTCAAGGGGATGTACCTTAGTTGCGGGCACATCCCCAATAGGCAGATGAATGGATGTTTCTAAAATCAACTTTATACATACATATATATATATATATGGAGCAGGATGGGGTATAAAGGTCAGCAGGCAGAAATCATTGCCCTCCTTTCTGCTAGCTCAGAACACGTTAATATCTGAGAAGCTCCCTGACATAAAAGTTCCTTGACCCGAATTTCCTTGCAAACACTCACCTCTCTCTCCTTGTACTGAGGCAGCAGCTCCTGAACAGAATCAGCAAAGAGCTTTGCATAGCGCTTGGTGTTCTCACAAATTGAATCCACCAACTCGGGGTCCTCCTCGGCTACATCATCAAGGTCTATGTACATTGCCACTTGTTCCCGATGAGCCAGTCGAACCTGGGGTAGGGAAGACCTCAGAGTCAAGTTTACTGTGCAAGGAACCATCGCTGTGAGCTTAGGACAGATTCCAGGTCTTCACAGGGAAGAAATAGTGTGGGACAGCAATACTCATTTCTTAACCCCCCAAAGACAGCTTCTCAACTCCTTAATTATCACCAAGTATGGGGCACTGAACCAAACATGTCATTTACAGACAAATGCACTTGTTGAAATAAGCCAGGCCACCTTACAGCTCTTTAAGGTGCCATTCCCTCCAATCTTAGACTTACCAACTGGTTCCCATACTTGAACTGCTTTTTGCCAAACTCGTCATCCTGGTAAAACTCTTGTAGGAATTTCTTCACCTTTTCTATAATGTAAATGTAAAATCATGATCAACCTTCCTTTCTTTCAGATACCTTTTTTGCAAACCCAACAGAAATATAAGAAACCCACTCTTGTTTAAGTGACTAATTAGTTATGTGAACATTTAAATCACCCCACCCCACATAATTCTCCCCAAACTGGGCAGAATTCCTTTTCACAAGTCTGATTTACCTAAAGAATAAGGGTCACTTGGCAGTTGAAAAATTACCCAACACCCTCCCCCTGGGGTAATTTCAGTGTCTGCCTTCGTTAGAAGTCTCAGTGCCCGTTCCCAAAGGCCTCCCAACTCCCAGCAGCAAACTCAAGTCTCAAGGTTCTCAGCTTTTCTTCCATAATTATCATCTCCTCGCTTTCTTTCGGTCCCCTAAACCTATGCCACTAGTCCCATCCTCCACCCCACCCCCTCTACCGCCACTGCTTCCGCTCTTAGTAAACAAAGAAGCACATGGGCCCAGATGCGGCCGCCTCACGGCGCGGGATTCCTCCGCCCGGGGGAGCCGGTCTGGCCGTTAGCCAGCCGGTCCAGGGCCACGCCGTCTCCCCCATCTTGGCTCCTTACTACCTCCTCTAAGACTCGCACTAAAACCCTTAATTCCAGGCACGCCCCTGCTCTAGGCAGCTCTCTCGGAGGCTCCCGCGCGGAAGGACACTGTTTACACACGAAGCTCCCTCCAAGGCGTCGCGCAACTTCCGCCCGCCTTCACTTCCGCTTGTAAGTTGGCTTAAAATGGCCAATCCCCGCGCGCAGCGGCCCAGGTCAGCCCGCCCCCGGGGCTTCGATGTCCCGGGAAGACGCGGCTACTCCAGAGAGCCGAAGCGCGCGGAAGGCAGCGGGGCCAGGGGTGCCCGACTCTACGCCCTAGATAAGACCTTCTGAGGCCCCGGCCTCTCCAGGCCCTACCGTCTCCACGCGAACCCCCAACGGGGCTATCCGCCGCCCCCACTCATTTCCCGAACACCATCACTAGCTCTTCTCCGACCTCGGGTCTCCACGTGCCTCCCAGGCACCGTGTGCCTTAGCCACGCCGCCTCTGGACCCCGGCTCCGGCCTCGCGCGCCGAGCGGCGGCCCCCGGGACCCTAGCTCACATCAACAGGTGCTGGCCGGGAGCGTCCCCGCGCCGGACGCTCCTCCCAAGCTTGCGAACCCTCACCTTTCTCCAGCGCGTAGTCCTTATGTGCCATCGCTGCTGAGGACCGTGCAGCAGCAGCAGCTGGAGCGCACAGAGCTCTCACTCTCCCGTAGCAGCGATCGCTCCCGCTGCAGACTGAGGCTGACCAACCGAAATTGGCGCGAAACGTCGCCCAACACGTGACCGGCGTAGCCGCGTATGGGCCAATCCCATAAGGAGATTTCTGTCCCGCCCTCCCGCCGCGGGCCCAGCCTCGACCAATCAACAGGCGTACTTGGGCTGAGTGACGGGGAAGTGGCGTGAGTTAAGAAAGAGACAGGTTGGGAGGGGTGGGGCAGGCGCCGGATTTCCCGCGTCGGAGGAGACTCGGTCTTAAAGCGCCAGCCTTACAGGCGTCCCTTTGTTTCGGGGCTGCTGTCTCTTTTCTCTCCTAGTCCAATCTGCAGAACGGCCATGATTTCCCAGTTCTTCATTCTGTCCTCCAAGGGGGACCCACTCATCTACAAAGACTGTATCCTTGACCTACGAGTCCAGGGAGGGAAGCTGGGGTAAGGAGTAGTGTCCCAGAGCTGGCTTGTGTGCCTCCCGGTCCTTAGCTGCCCTTAAGTCCGTGGGGACAGTGGCGGCCGGGATGTGGCCGAGCTCTTCTACCGGAAGCTGATGGGACTGCCTGGAGAAGAGTCCCCGGTTGTCATGGTAACCAAAAGGGGGGCTTGGAGTGCTATTCTGGCAGGCTCGGGTGGAGAGGACGCTTCCTCCCACTTAGGCCTGTGTCCTTGAGAGCTTCCCGTTGGGGTGGAGGCCGTGCATTCCTCCAGATACTATTGAGGAAAGTTTATTGAGCGCTAACCATATGGCAGGCACAGCTCCTTACATGCCTCATTCCTCAGCACCTCTGAGGAAGGAACTCTCATTAACTCCACTTTACACTTGGGAAAACTGGGCCCTTGGGAGGTTTCTAGTTTGCCCGAGGTCGCACTGCTGGGTAGTTGGGGAATCAGGGTACCAGCTAATCAGAGTACTAGTTGGGCCCCTTAAGTACAACTCTCTTCCTGACTGTTCTCTCTTCCCCCTCTCCCCCCTTCTGCCTCAGCACCACGATGACCGTCATTTTATTCACATCAGACACAGTGGTCTCTATTTGGTGGCCACGACTTCAGAAAACATTTCTCCCTTCAGCCTCCTAGAGCTGCTCTCTCGGTGAGGAGGGCAGGGCTGGGCAGCTGGGGGTTGGGGTGTGAGCAGAGGAAGAGATGCACACTCCGTTCTTTTTCCTCAGGTTAGCCACCCTCCTGGGTGATTACTGTGGCTCCCTGGGAGAGGGGACCATCTCCCGCAACGTGGCTCTTGTCTATGAACTCCTGGATGAAGTGTTGGTGAGGTTCAAAGACGTCCTGCGTTGTCCCCGTTCCCTAAAGATCTATTCCTTGATTGTGAGGCTAAGTCCACTGCATTTCACTTCTTTTCCCCCCACTGGCCACCCTGAAACTGTTCCTCCTCTGTCTGTAGGATTATGGCTATGTGCAGACCACATCCACAGAGATGCTGAGGAACTTCATCCAGACTGAGGCTGTGGTCAGCAAGCCCTTCAGCCTCTTTGATCTCAGCAGCGTTGGCTTGGTGGGTAGAGGGAAAGAGGACCAGGAGGGAGGTTTGGCAGGGGTTGCCAGACCTTGAGGACTGATTGTTTGGGTGCTTTGCAGTTTGGGGCTGAGACACAACAGAGTAAAGTGGCGCCCAGCAGTGCAGCCAGCCGCCCAGTCCTGTCCAGCCGTTCTGACCCGGTGAGGGACTAAACAGGTTCAGACCCCCTGATTTTGTTTTAGGGAAATCCCAGAGTCCAAGATCCCTGCATATCTTCCCACCTCTCCTAGATTTGGATAATCCAGCCCCTTCCTATACCTCGTATTCCCAACCCTGGCCCTAGCGTCCACTGCTCTGTCCACTAGTCAGCCTCCAACTACCCAAATGCCCTCTCTTCCTCAGAGCCAAAAGAATGAGGTGTTTTTGGATGTGGTTGAGAGACTGTCCGTACTGATAGCATCCAATGTAAGTTTGGGCCCCCAGATGGTATCTGGCAAACACATTTGGGGAGGTCATCTCTGGGCATTAACCCCTCTGCCACTCTCAGGGCTCACTGCTGAAGGTGGATGTGCAGGGAGAGATCCGACTCAAGAGCTTTCTTCCCAGTGGCTCTGGTGAGAAGTCTGCAGGCTGGACCTAGGGTTGGGGTTGGGACAGACTTCTGGAGGCATTTGTGGTGCTATTCGGTGGCCTTTTCTGATGTCCTTTTTTTTTTTTTTCTGACAGAGATGCGCATTGGTTTGACAGAAGAATTTTGTGTGGGGAAGTCAGAACTGAGAGGTGAGAAAAAGTAGGTCTTTCTCTCCTACCAGAAGTTTCATGGAGAGAAGTTAGAGACAGATCCCTACCCCATCCCTGCTCTTCTCTCCCAACATGTGGGTTAGCAGAGGAGTCTTTCTTTCTAGGTTATGGGCCAGGAATTCGGGTGGATGAAGTCTCATTTCACAGCTCGGTGCAACTGGATGAATTTGAGTCTCATCGAATACTCCGCTTACAGCCACCTCAGGGCGAGGTCAGGATGGGCTGGCCTAGCATATTCCATCTACCCAAGGGAAGGGGGGCAGTTCAGGTGTGAGGGCACCAGACTGATCTCTGTTTCTCCCTCACCGTAGCTGACTGTGATGCGGTACCAACTCTCAGATGACCTCCCCTCCCCACTTCCCTTCCGGCTCTTTCCATCTGTGCAGTGGGACCGAGGCTCAGGCAGGTGAGACCATTTCTAGTTCTAGAATTTCTCTGGAACCCAAGTCCATAGGTAGATTTATTGGGGAGGGATGGTGGTTAATGGTATAGGTTACAAATTAGAAAAAGGCACCGGACCCCCAAGTGGACTCAGTCCCATGAACGCTAGTGATTAATAAAGTAGAGTAGATTTCAGCCCTTCTCTCTCCTTCCTTCAGTACATGTCTGGGGCTGGTGAGATGCCAGCAGGTTATGGCTAGAGCAAGCATGTCAAACTCTTGGCCAGTGGGTCGCATGCCTTGTTTACATGCCGGCCACGAGTTTGACATGCTTGGGCTAGTGTAATGGTATTGTATTCTCTCATCCAGGCTCCAGGTTTATCTGAAGTTACGATGTGACTTGCCCCCAAAGAGGTATGAGTGGGGTAGCCAAGACTAGTTCAGCTATGGGGAGTAGGAGAAAGGGCCCAGATAGATACCTGTTGCTATGGCTTTCAGATGCAGCCACCAGCCTAGGAATCAGTTTAGTTAGAGGCTTGAGAGTTTAGGGAGGGTGGGGTGGCACTTGTGCTGAATTCCAGCTGTGACATTAATGAAGCATGGAGACGAGCCGTTACCTTTCTGGGGCTGACTGTTCCTTTCACGTTTGCAGCCAGGCTCTCAATATCAGGCTTCACCTTCCCCTGCCTCGAGGGGTGGTCAGGTGAGTGTGTGTGCAGTGGTTTTACCAGCTTCCCCTGACGACAGGATGGCACTGGGGAGGAAAGTGTACATAGACCGTAGCGGTGGACCTGGCTTGCCCCTGAGGCAGTCAGGGGCTGAGCCCAGCACCTTCCCAATCTCCAGCCTGTCTCAGGAGCTGAGTAGCCCAGAGCAGAAGGCAGAGCTGTGTGACGGAGCCCTTCGCTGGGACCTGCCTCGTGTGCAAGGTGGCTCTCAGCTCTCAGGCCTTTTCCAGGTATCGGCTGCTGGTTCTCTAAGGCCCTCCTCCATTTTCAGTCCCAACTCCTCTCGCTTACTATAGTTGCTGCATTGTTCCTAATATAGTCACCTTCCTGGCCCTGGGGCTCCCCTGCCCACCTTCTCGTCTTCAGCACTCACCCCTCTGCCTCTGTCCCTCACAGATGGAAGTCCCGGGTCTGCCTGGGCCTCCTGGGCAAGGACAGTCCACCTCAGCGCCTCCTCTGGGGCTGGGCCCTGCGAGCCTCTCCTTTGAACTTCCCCGGCACACGTGCTCCGGCCTCCAGGTTCGCTTCCTCAGGCTGGCATTCAGACACTGCAGCAATGCCAACCCCCACAAGTGGGTGCGACACCTAAGCCACAGCGATGCTTATGTCATTCGGATCTGAGGCTCCCCAAACAAGGACATGGGCAGGAAAGATGGCGGCCTGTGGTTCAGGAGGACGATACTGTCTTCTCCATCCTCTGGCCTGTGGTAATGGATCTGGCTGGAAGAGACCTGAGTCCTAGAGACCACGAGGGCTCCACAGGTTAGATCCTTTCATTGTATCGGACACAGGAAGGACTGAGGTGAATCACAGCTTACAAATCAAACTTTTATTATGAGCTGGCTGTACAATATCTAAAAAGAAAGTTAAGGTGAGGGAAGCAAATGACTACTTCCTTCCACCATGTGTGTATGTGTGTGTGTGTGTGTGTGTGTGTGTGTAAATAGAGAGAGAGAGAATCTTGGGAAGAGAGATTGGCAGTTGTGTGACAGCATCAAGGGGCAGGCTGAGGCGAGCCAGATACAGGGGGCTGGGAGCCATTAGCCTTTGGAGTCCCTGGAGCTGGAGGAGGGCTATCTCCAGCTTCCTGTTTTCCCCCACAGAGGGCACTGCCCCCCAGTGGGGAAGGGGCTGAGGATTGGGGAGGGACCGGGGAAGGGTGGGAGGTGGGGCCTCCTTTGCCATCCCCTGTTGGGGGAAGAGAGACCACTATGTACTTCTGGACACTGCCGGGGCCGGAGGAGGCAGTGCTGGGGGGTGCAGCTGTGGCAGTGGAGACCAGCTTGACAATGGGCTGCACACTGGGGACCGTGGTAGTGACAGGAGACGTGGTGGTGGAGCCTGAGCCAGGGGCTGAGGTGCTGAGGGACAGGACCTGGGGGAAGAACGGAAAGTCAGTGTCTGTTATCTTGCATCCTCACTACTCCCCGGAGCTGGGGGAATACCTCACTTGCTCCAACCAAATAATTCGTCCTCTGATTCATCCTCAGGGGGAGAAGCTGTGGCCTTTGGGCCCCTGGGAAGTGCTCCTTCTAGCTGCTGTTTTGGGCTCAGAGGTGACTGGGCCTACTCTGGGGCCTCAGGACAGCATGTGACATGCTTCCCGTCATCCCTGGTCCCGTGGGGCTGTACATACCTGTTGGGTGGATGAGGCACTAGAGGACGATGACATTACAATAAACTTGGTTGGAGGAGGGGAAGGCTGAGGTGGAGCAGCAGCTCGTGCAGACACCAGTGTCTGGACGGGCAGTGCGATGGAGCCAGGGACCTTCAGCAGGCCAGGGGTCCGAGGGCCCGGTTGAGGGGCCTGAGAAAGGGTCAGCGTGGGTCGGGGCTGCAGGAGGAAGAGGCAAGAAGAAAATGTCAACATCTAAGAAAAAGGGCTTGTCTTGCTCCTGAGTTGGTCTCACTGGGGTGGGGGTCTAGCTGCCTCCAAAACTTCTGACTCAGAGGGCTCTGGGTTTCAAAAAATTCGTGCTCATGGGCATGCCTGTAATCCCACATCCCAATGCAAACCAGGACTCTGTCTCCCCTCGTTCTTCTTCAATCCTCCTCTCCATTTGGTCACCCCTCTCCCTGGACTGTCACGGACCTGAGTGATGGTCAGGGTGGTCCTGTTGACCTGTTGAGCCTGCAGAGCAGCTTGAGCCCGGGCCTTGACCACATGGGAGCAGAGGAGGGGTCCAAGGGACCCAAATTCTGCCCGATACGCATCCTGATTGTCAGGTGGTGGGCGCAGCTTTGCCAGAACAGGGGCACAGTGCTTCTGTAGAGATAAAGAAAAAAGAAAAAAAAAGAAGCAGCAGGTTGAAAGAGGGCTGGGATTCCCGGAAGCATGGTGAAGGCGTGAAAAAGGATATTACCATTTCAGTATGTTCTTGCTGGCATAGCAGTGTGTATAAGGAATGCTATGGTTTTTCTTCATAAGAAAACATAGGCACCAATTGTTGTGAACGGAGAACATGCTAAATACCCTGGTGCCATCTGAGGTAGTTTTGGTCCATAGGGCATTTGCCTTACACAGAATGGGCCACAGTGATGCAGTAGCATGAGGGGTAGTGCAGCCCTTGACTGGAATCGAACCTGGGACCCTTCAGTCCTCAAGCCAACGCTCTATCCATTGAGCCAAACCAGTCCCGGCAAGACCTCTTATTTCTTATTTAACTCCTTTGTGCCTCAGTCTTTTCCATCTGCTAAATAGTATTGGACTCTGAGGTTTCTCTGAATATGAGGCAAAGATGGGATAAATGAATAAAAGACGACATTCTTGCTAAACATTGTGTATATGTGTGTGCGGGGGGGGGGGGGGGAAGGAAGGGGAGAAGATGAGTGGGAAGAAGCTGGGGGAGGGCATGGGGGATCTGGTCACCAGGAGGAGGCTCTGCACGTGGTCAGCTCCAATTCGGTCAATGTTGCTCAGCACAGGGCCATCCAGGACACTTCGGATCCGCTCCCCCTCCTGCTGCAGCCGCGGCAGAATCAGAGTTTTAATCACCTGTTGGGAAGGAAAGAGAGAAGCCAGGGCCTGGGGTCACCACAAAGGCTCCCAGGTGGTAGGTATTGCCCACTACAATATGATGCCTCCCTCCCCCAGTGCTTCCCCATGGGGGCCTGACATCGTGTCCCAGCTCGGCCAGGCCTGCGATGGAGCCATAACGTGTAGTCCACGGAGTCTTCTCGTCCACCCAACTCTGTAAGGGGATGGAAAATAAATCCAGGTAAATGGGCCTGAAAGCCTAATTGGTAAGGACCCAGGTCTCAAACGCACTTTTCCTTGTAGATCATTAAGACATTACAGATATACGTGCATACGACTCCAGTCCCATTCCCAATCCCTCTGCCGTTGTTTTCAGTTCCTCCCCACAACTGACCCACCACTGCTCTCACTGTCCTGGTGACAACCCTGAGGTAGAGATGTGAAAGGGCTACATTCCTTGTTCTGGCTCACCTTGGTGAAGGTCTTGGTGATCCGGGACTGGATGTTGTTAGTGGTTGTGCTGAAATGCTTGCAGATCTGGGCCACCAGGCGGGCAGCAAAGTCCCGGAGTGCCCAGTGATTGTCCACATCTGGCCTCAGACACAACTGTCTGCTCACGATGCAGGTCATCACAGCTGGAATCAATTCATGCACCTAAGAGAGAAGTGATAAGGCAGCTAATTATGATAACTGGCTTCTTGTTGGTGGCAGTGAGGTCTTCAAAGCCTGGGATGAGAGGTGGGTAGGCAGGACCACTCACGTATTTTTCTAGATACAGGGTAGGGTTGTCCATCAGTGCCTTCACCATGCGCATCAGATAGATGAGCAGGGCCAGGTTGTTCTGCACCACGTTCACACGGACCTGGAGGAGGGAGAAGTGACAGGGCAGGGAACACTAGATTAGTTTCCCCTGCCAACTCCTCACCCCCTGGGAGCAGAGGAGGGGTCTGAGTCCTCTCACCCCCTCTGAGATGAAGGTGCTGAATCGCGGCAGCATCTGGTAGAGCCCTGGGTCTGTGGCGATGCTCTGAAGGGCTTCCTGCGGGAGGAGGGAATGAGTGAGGCGGGGCAGATGCCATGGGGAGAATCTGAGGCCTCCGAGGAGGGGACTTGCGATAAAGGCAGGGTGGGGGGGCCTCACCGCTCTCTTGGCTTCACAGGACCCCACACAGGCTTCAGTGATCTCCTTGTAGTACAGTTGCTGCTCCACAGACAACTCGTGTATACTTCGGGACTTTAATCGAAAAGGGCCCCCCTCCAGGAGGGGCGGTGCCTTCTTCTCTTTCCCTGTGTAAATTGGGAAGATGGGCTTGGAAAAGAAAGCTCCAGAAGAGGCCTTCGTATCAGAGAAACCCTGACCCTCTGTGCTGGGTGATCTCTTTTGGGGCTTTCTGGCTGACCTCACCAATTCACCAGTGACTATCTGGCTTTGGGGAAAGAGCCCGAAGAGGCCTGGCCTAGCAGGACTGACCTTTGCCATCAGCTGGAGCAGCCCCTTGACCTTTGCTTTTCAAGGGTCCATCTTCCTCCTGGCCGGGCTTTGCTGACTTCAGGGGTTCTGTGGCCTCAGCCTTCTGCTGCTCTTTGGGAGCTGGTGGGAAAGCAGTCAGTTGCAAGAGTGTTGAGAGAGGTAGAAGGTGTGTGTGTGTGTGTGTGGTGGGGGGGAGGGGGAAAAAGGCCGAAGGGTGGGCTCTGGGCAGGGAGGTTACCTGGAGGTGGATTCTCTGGGATAGCTGGCTGGCAGCCTTCAATGCTCAACCAATGAGCTGTGAGGAAGGAAGGTATCAAGCTGAACTGCTGCACATGAATACTAGGAAGTCACTCCACACTAAGGAATGTGTGTTTTCATTCCTGTTCCCACTTCCTGCTACTCACCAGGGATCCCACGCTGAGGGCTTCTTCCCTGTGAGTCTCCTTAAACCCGTAAGCATTGCCCCTCCTTTCCTTGCCCTGCCACCCCGCTCTCCTCTCCCCCAACCTTTGAGGCAGACGTCCAGGGGCACCCGGGGCAGAGGGGTATTGATGATGTCACTCAGGTCAACCTCCTTCTCCTCATAGAAGTAGAGTTCCCGGCCCCCACCGGAGGCGAACCGGAAAGGAATGAACTCTTGAGCATGGAAGCCATACAGTGGCTATCTCAGGAGAGAGAGAGGCAGCAGGATGAGAAGGGGGGCCATGGAAGGACTGTTCTCACCCCCGTCCCCATCTCAGTCCTGTGTGTCCCAATCACCTCCACATTCTTTAGCTTCAGTGCATAGTCAATGTCACTGGTGGTGAGCTTCTGCCGCTTCCCCATGTGCATGAACTTTAAGGCATCCTGGGGTGGGAGAACAAATGTCAGCCTGAGACCCCGAGGAAGAAGAGGGCCTGAGCATCCTCCTCCATTCAATGCAGGACGGGGTAGAGGGGCCAGGTGACCTGTGCGATCTCCTTGATGCGGTAACTGACTTCGTCTGTCAGCAGCTGACAGGTTTCTTCCTGAATCTGGGCGATGCCCATCGACTCGGCCACCACCTTCATTGACTCCGAAGGCAGCACCGTGTTGCTGAGCTTCAGCTTCTTCTCCTCAGCCATGCTGGAGCTCTTCCGCCCTCCTCTGAAGGATGGTGCCCCAGGGTGGAGAGGTGGAGACCCTGGCAGGGGGATGGGGTGGGCAGAAGAGATAAAAAGAAATGTGAGACCCAAAGTAGAGGGGTTGTCTGCTCAGGAGAGGCCACAACAAATGGAGGAGAATAAGGATGGGAAGAATTCGTGGGACCTTCTGTCCATCCCCACATGAGTCAGCATTGGGCGTAACAGGAGGAGGTAGCAATTCGATCCAGTTCAACGTAATTTATTGAGCTCTGATTCTATGCCAGGCACCATACAAGTGAGGTATAACAGGGATGATTTTAAAAAATATATATTTTATTGATTTTTTACAGAGAGGAAGAGAGAGGGGTAGAGAGTTAGAAACATCGATAAGAGAGAATCATCGATCAGGTGCCTCCTGCACCACCCTTACTGGGAATGTGCCTGCAACCAAGGTACATGCTCTTGACCAGAATCAAACCTGGGACCTTTCAGACCGCAGGCCGACGCTCTATCCACTGAGCCAAACCAGTCTCGGCAATAGGGATGATATTCACTCTCAATTTAAATACAAGCCCTAGCATTACTGTGCTGTGTTACTAGGGCAGGTTACTTAAATTGTCCCTGGTTTGGGTTTCCATATTTCCATAAAATATGGAAAACACTTTTTTCCTAACGTTGTTTTACGCATGCTTCCATCTCTCTTGTCCCTTCTTGCATTATTACTTGACACAAATACAATCCTGGTTAAAAGATTACCTGAGCCTATATTCTTGTACAATTCAATGTGAGAAAAATACACAACCATCATGGCTAATTACCACTTTAAATTCATGGCCATAAACTTCAAATGGGCCCTTATCCTGCCAGACAAGCATACTATAACTCTGTGCACTCAGTCTCCCTCTATCCTGTGTGACCATCTTTCTCCTTCCTCACCTCTGGCCATCAGAAGGGACCTCCAGACTTTCCTTATGTCTACCCACCAAGTAGCACTGGTATCCACATACCCTGCCTTCCCACCTGTTGCTATAAATTGTTCATGCCTGTCACCACCTCCAACATCATTCCAGTGTTTCTCCCATCTCTCTCTATCATCAATTGTGCAACCTTCCAGGTCATTTCCATCAGCCTACAAAATGCAGTTATTTTCCTGGCTTAAAAACAGCCTTATAAAGGAAGGACATTCTGACACATGCTACAACATGAATGAACCCTGAGGACGTTACGCTGATTGAAACAAGCCAGTCACAAAAAACAAGTATGGTATGATTCCACTTGTGTGAGGGTCTTAAAGTAGTCAAACGCAGAGTCAGAAAGTGTGAATGGTGGTCGCTAGGGGCTGAAGGAGGGGGAATGGGAAGTTACTGTTTAATAGGGACAGAATTTCAGCTTTACAATGGGAAGAGTTCTGGAGATGGATGATGGTGATGGTTACACAACAATGTGAATGTATTTACCGGTAATGCCACTCACCTACACTTAAAAATGGTTAGGATGGCCGAAACCGGTTTGGCTCAGTGGTAGAGCATCGGTCTGCGGACAGGTTCGATTCCGGTCAGGGGCATGTACGTTGGTTGCGGGCACATCCCCAGTGGGGGGTGTGCAGGAGGCAGCTGGTCGGTGTTTCTCTCTCATCGACGTTTCTAGCTCTCTATCTCTCTCCCTTCCTCTCTGTAAAAAATCAATGAAAATATATTTTAAAAAAATGGTTAGGATGGTGGGCTTTCCATGTATTTTACCAAATTATACATTAAAACACACCTTTTACCTTACTTTCTCTGTATGTTATACCCAATTTTTTCTCATTCTTGCAATAAAACTCCCTCAAAAAATTGTCATAACTTTGTTTCTAATTCTCCTCTCCTCTCTTGAACCTACTCTAATGGGGCTCTTGCTCCTCTAGATCCCTGAAACTCTCAAGATCACGGCTGACTTCACATTGCCAAATTCAAGGCCCACTCTGTCCTCATCTTCTTTCACCTCAAAGTAGTACATAGCATAGCTAATTACTACCTTCTGAAAACTCTCTCTCTCTTTTTTTTTTTTTACTCCACTGTGGCACCAACCGCTGGTTTTCCTCCTACCTCACTGGCCATTAGCCCTCAGTTTCCCCTTCCGGTTCTTCCTCCTCACCAGCTTAATGTTAGAATGTCCTAGTCTCAGTCCTTCTTCTTCTCTGGCTACACTTACTTACTTGGTGACCACAACCTCTCTGTTTTCAGTATCATTAATAGGGTGACGATGGCCAACTTTATATCCCAGGCCCAGAGCCCGCATCATCTACAACCCGGATAACTTCGATAGCCTCCTGAGAAGCTCTCCCAGCTCCACCTTGCTCTTTACTTCTACTCCCAACACAGCAGCCAGAGTGATTCTGTCAAATTATACATCAGATTGGGTCATTGTTCAAACTCTGTAATGGCTCCCCGTTTACCATCCAGAAAAATCCAAAATTCCTATTATGGTCTACAAGGCCCTCTCTGCATGACATCTCTGACCTCCTTTCCTTCCTCTTCCAGCTTTTTTCCAGCGCCACTGTCCGCCTTGCTGTTCAAACCTGACAGACCTGCTCTTGCTTTATGGCCTTTGCTATTTCTTCTGCCTGGAATGCTCTTTCCCAGATGACAGTTTGACTGCCTATTTCCACCACCCTGTTTAATACCACATACTCCACCCCATCCTTTCCCTCCCCTTGGCATTTAACATCTAATATATACTGTATCATCTCCTCCTCCTGCACCGTATGGACAGAGATCTCTGTCTACTATGTTCACTCATGTGTTCCAAGTTAGCAAACTGTTGCCTGAGACACTGTAAATATTCAATATATATTTGAATAAATGAACCAACTGTGAGGATTAGAGATCTAAGTGCTCCACTCCCACTCGGTACCAGTATTATCAAGACGAACAAGTACAGACCCAACCTTGGAACCTACTGCTTGGCCACCAGGAAAGGGGCTCGCTTACAGCTGGTGTGAGGACCACTGACGCCGGAAGTGTTTAGGACTGACGGCGGGATGTAGGTGGGTGGGGGCTGGTGAGGACATGCTGAAGGCGTGAGAAGATGGGAGACCAAAGACAACTTGGTTCTTCTCAAAACACCCCAGCTTTCCTCCACTTTGGCAAGTCTTATTCATTCCACACAAATTCGCACTGTGCCTGGAGCCGGGCGTGCAAGCAGCGGTCGAGTCGCCGCGTCCTGGAGAACTACTAACCCACCAACACCCTGCCAGAAAAAGCTCACAACGCTCGCAGCCCCTCCGGTCAGTGCAGTCGGCAGAAAGGCTTAACTGCAGCTAGAGCCAACAGGAAAACGAGGTCCCCCAGGCCATAGGTCCAGCTCGAAAGGAGCAGAGCGCCCACCTCATCCCCATCATCCCTCCCATGCAAACACACAAGAATCCCCACGCGTACGGACACACAACCAACCGTCCTCTTCCTGATCCCCACACAGGCCCGCCAAGGGGTCTAGGCCATGGTACCACCCGACCTGACCCCCTCCCGCCAGCCGAGCGCGCCGGGCACGAAAAACTCTCACCGCCGCCGAAGCGCCGCTCAGCCGGCGCTCGGCGCCATGTTGGCCCCGCCCCCTCCCGGGAGCCGGTCCTGGCAGAGAAAAGGAGCAAGTCCCTGCCCTTTCTCTGAGCAAGAATAAGTTCGTTAGACTCATGGCCTGAAATTAAAAAAAACCCTCTGCTTTTTATATATACATTTCAGGAGCGTACACTTCTGTGGTAACTCCTTCTGTGTATTTCCTCACTACCCGGCGGCCAGGACCTGCCAGAGGCGCCACAAAACCCAGGCGGGGACGGCCGGAGCGCGGAGGGCCCCGCCCCCTCCTGGGTCGGCACTGCGCGTGCGCCTCCGGGGATAGGCTGGAGACTATTAGAGTTGCCGCCAAACCCCTCGGAATTAAAAGGGCCCGCGGCCTTCCCCGAAGTTGGTTAGAAGGCAAGGGGTGTTTGGTTGTGGGCAGCAGCACTTTGTCATGGGACCTGTGCCGTTGGGGATATTGCTTTTCGTTTTGACTGCACACTTCCCAGCATGGGCTGGGACGCCGAAGGAGGAGGACGATGACACAGAACGCTTGCCCAGCAAATGCGAAGGTATCTGAAAGGAATAGCTCTTTTGGCATCCCTCTGCTCCACCTCCTTTGTTCGGGCTGGACCAAATGGGCCGTGATGGGTGGGTCACTCAACCTCCTTGAAGACCTTATGGAGGGTTTTTTGGTGGAGTTTGGCGGAAGTCGAATGGGATCCAGGGCTATCCCAAACCTATGGCACTACAATTCCCAGGAGACATCCAGAGAGAGAGCCCGCTTTTTCTGGCCGGTCTGGGCCCCAATGGTTTGTGGGAATTGTAGTTCAGAAACTATCTGCCCAGGATCACCAAGCTACTGAGCATCTTGTGTGTGTGTATGTGCACGCGCGCGTCTCCCCTCACACTCCCCACCCCTCCGCCCATGCCACTAGACGCTAGACCTCAATCTGGAGATCCTGCAGGAGTGGGATGTTAGGCTCACCTTGTGGATATCCTCTGCTCCACCTCGGCAGAGACACTCCCAAATTACAGGTTCCGCGTTCTCCTGTCGGGGCTTGGGGATGAGTGAATCAGCCTTTGAAGCTCATAAATGAAAGAGGCCACACAACTGGGAGAGATTCCCCATAGGTGTGAGGCTTTCCAAAGGGTGTGTGTGTGTGTACTGTGTGGATTTTACAGCAAGCAGTATCTTCTGTAGTTGCACTATTTGTGGGTCCCAACTAGTGTTAGGCAGTTACTTATTGGGCTCCATCTGGATGTACAATAGCAATAGAGAGCAATAATAGGGAGAGGGCGTTTCAGGGCTGGGCCATTCATTGAGTGCTCTGGTTCCCTAGTTTGCCGCCTTCCTGACTCTAATTTCTTCCCTGGATTCTTTTTCTTTTAACCTGCATTTCAATATCGTTGTTCCTCAAGACTTAGACCTAATCTCTACTCTCCTTTCACTTGTGCCCCTACTCCTCTGTCAGGATTTGTAAACACAGACCCAATGTCGTCTGTCCTTGCTTTAACACCTGTGCAGGCTTCCTGCAGTGATTAGAGCACAGCCAAGATTATTGTTAGGGCAGAACATATGTTTGTTTTATGACACCCTCCCTACCTTTCTTTCTTTTCCATAATCAAAATCCCATCCCCATAGTGCCCATACTGAAGCCACACTGCACTCAGCAGCTAGTGAGCCTGCTTTATCCTTTCTCCTGTTTTTCCCTTTGCCTGGAATAACCCTCTCACTTCTGCATGTAGTTCTCCAAGATACAATTTAAATGTCACCTCCTTTGGAAGTCTTCTTTTCATATCTGTCACCTCTCACTGTATTGTAAAGGAGGGAAAGAGAATATCTGTGTCTCCCAGATCTTAGAGCAGTACCTGGCATATTTTAGGCACTTTGGTTACTTGCTCCCGGTTAGTTCACTTGGCACTTTTGTATAGGCCACTCCTTTCTTGGGACCCATAACATGCAGATCACATGATGGTGCTGGAAAGACAGTGGTGGAACAGATGCAATGCTCACCCTTAAGGAAATCCCAGGCTAGCAGGAAGTCAGTATGTAACCATTGAATGAATTTTGCATTTCCCAATGAGATTAAGTCTCTTGGTCTTTTTTTTTTTTAATATAAGGGAGAGATAGAAACATCTATGAGAGGGAATCACTGATCAGCTGCCTCCTTCACACTCCCTCCTGGGGATGGAGCCCACAACCTGGGCATGTTCCCTTGACTGGAATAGAACCTGGGACCCTTCAGTCCGCAGGCTGATGCCCTATCCACTGAGCCAAACCAGCTAGGGTCTTAATCCCTATTGTAGGAATCATCACACCATATTGCCATCTTTCTATTCCCACTGCATTGGCAGTGTTTCATGGATAGGGATGGTGGGTCTTACCTGCTCTCTATAGCTATTGTGCATCCAGAAGGAGCCCAATAAATGACTGCCTCACAACAGCAAAGACTTATACACTGCTCACTTTGTGCTGGCATATTGTAAAGGCTTTACATGGATGGATTTAATCCTCACCACATCCCTATAAGGAGATACTATTATTATCTCCATTTTAGAGGTGAAGAAACCAAGGCACAGCAGATTGCTACACAGCTTACTAAGCGGCTGCGTCAGGATTGTAAACCAGGCTGGCTCCAGAGTCTGCATTTGTAACCAGCAGGCTCTGCTGCTTTTGCTCATCTGCAGAATGAGTTGCTGGCATGTTTGTTTATCTCTCATGTCCCTTTGGACATCTAGTGTGTAAGCTGCTGAGTCTGGAGCTACAGGAAAAGCTGAGTCGCACTGGACGATCTCGAGAGGTGCTGGAGCTGGGGCAGGTGCTGGACACGGGCAAGAGGAAAAGACACGTCCCTTACAGCGTTTCGTGAGTCCTTCTTGATGCCCCTCCACCTTTCAACCCCCAAAAGAGCTCTGGGAGCTCATACAGCATTCAAGGAGTCTTTGTTTCCCCTCTCCCCACAGAGAGACAAGGCTAGCAGAGGCCTTGGAGAATTTATGTGAGCAAACTCTGGATTACAGTGTTCATGCTGAGCGCAAGGGCTCACTGAGATACGCCAAGGTCAGACTCCTCCCCAGGGCAGGATCCCACTGCTTAGGCCTATATCCTCTGGAGCCTCCTTCTCTAGCTCTTCAGTGTCCCCTCCTCATCTGTAGGCTTCCTCATCTCACCCTCATAGAACTTACCCTTCACACTACGGTGGTTGACAAACTGATGTGGTGGAAAGGGAAAGGAAGAAGTTGAGGTAGTGGGCTGGGCTGATCCCCAAAATTCCCATCTCACAGGGGCAGAGTCAGACCATGGCAACGCTGAAAGGCCTGGTGCAGAAGGGAGTCAAGGTGGACCTGGGGATCCCTCTGGAGCTGTGGGACGAGCCCAGTGTGGAGGTCACATTCCTCAAGAAGCAGGTAGGATGGGATCCAGCCCAGGGAAGGGTGAGAAGGGAACCTGAAAGGGGAACTAGGTCCTAGGGAGTTCTACCTCTAAGCAGGGAGAAGGGGGCAGAGTGAGGACTGTCACTGATTGACAAGCACCTGGAGTATATCAAGAAGTAATAATGGAGACTACTAATAAGCATTACCACTTACTGAGTGTGCGAATTTGGAGCCCCATACGTTTCAGCTGCTGCCTCATTTTGCCCTTACAACAACCTGATTACCATTTCCCATCTTACAGACAAGGAGCTGAAACTTAGAGTTTAATAATCTACTCAGGAGAGTAGGTGTTAGTAAATGTTTGTTGAATGAATGGGGATCACACATCTAGTAAGCCACGTTTAAACTCCTGGCTACCTGCATCTCCGAAGTGGGGGGTGGAGGGGGGTGGGGAGACAGGTAGTAAAGAGCGAAGAGGAAGGTTCCCAGAGCCCAGCAGAGCAGATACTCTTCTGACCCTTCCACTTGACCAGTGTGAGAAAATGCTGGAGGAGTTTGAAGAAGTCGTGGAAAACTGGTACTTCCACCATCAGGAGCAGCCCCTGCAGCATTTTCTCTGTGAAGGTCATGTGCTCGCAGCTTCTGAAACTGGTAAGTGTGTGGGCTGGTCCCTTTCCTGCCAGGCCACAACACCCCCTATCCACAGGGCCAATATCTAACTTGTTTTCTGTCACCCAACTTAGCATGTCTACAGGAAACGTGGACTGGAAAGGAGATCACAGAAGGGCAAGAGAAGACAGAAGGGGAGGAGGAGCAAGACCAAGAGGAGGAGAAGGACAAGGAAGAAGAGATGACCAGCACACCAGGCCACTCCAAACATGACCCAGAGGATCTTTGACCCTTGTTTTTGAGCCTCCAGGAAGGGCAGGGGTTGTGGAGAGTTCTCTGAAGTCTGAGCTCTCTCTACTCCACAGCTTTTATGGTGTGTGAGTGTGTGTGTGTGTGTCTCACCCCTAAGCTTGTAGTTGTTCTCTCCCATCTGGTCTCAGGCAGAATCCTGATGGTACAGCATAATATAGCTATGGGGAGAAAGGGGTGAGCAGTAGGTAGAAGCCATACCCTCTGCCTGTCATCTAGCTCCCTTAACTGTAAGGTGTGGAGACAATAGTGAAGGCTTTCCCCTTTAAAAATCTCTACTACTTCTAAACTCCACCCAGAGGTCGGCAATGGCACAGGAGTTGTGGGTCTTGGGAACATCACTTTGCCTTTTTTTAGACCCTTACAAGGATGAAGCCAGAAGGGCATTCTCCGCAACTTATACACACCGCCTGCGTCCAGAAGGCTACATGCCCACAAACTGTGACCGAAGAGGGGAGGGACACTGGATGGGGTGATGTTTGATAAGTTAGGTGGAGTAGACACACTTAGTCTACTTCATATTAATTTCACCGATGGCCCGCCACATAATTTCACAAGTGCCAAATTTTTTATATATCGCTAGTAAGCTTTCTTTTCTTTCTTTCTTTCTTTCCTTTTTTTTTTTTTTTTTTTTTTAAGAATCGGTTGCAACCTAAATTTCAATCAACTACCGTGCACACATCGTAGCTGGCTGATGTGGCAGCGCCCCGCCCAGGGAAAAGGGCGGTTGGCTGCCGTCCTGTTAGAAGCTAATGGTGCTTGGTAATAACGTTGCAGCCCAGGGAAGCTGGCAGGGATACCAGGCCGAGGACGGTATTTGGGCCGGGGTCCGGGTCCGCGCTCAGAGAACGCGGCCGGGTTAGAACTCCTTGGGTGGTCCCGTGCCGGCCGCCATACTTGGGCTTATGGGAGCTCGCAGGGGACAAAACCCTTCGCGTTTTCCCCCGTTTCCATCCTTGCCTCAGAACCTAAGGGGCGTAAAGCTGGGTCCAAGGTACAGAGCGGGTTAGGTTATAGTGAAGGAACTAAAAAGGACCTCCTTGGGGGGTGACGAGCGTGGACCTACCACGAGACGGTGACAAGGCGGGGGCCCAAAAAACGCTGAAAAAACGCGCCGCTTCACGTGGAAGAAAAAGGTTGGGCGATACCATCCATCCTCGGAAGGGGGCCGAGGGCGATACCATTTTAAGAGAGGGGGCGGCAAGAACGGAGACCACTTGTCGGAGGTTGCGGGGAGTGTGGGGACCCTAAGGGGCTGGACCTGGGCCCGCAGCCCCGCTTTCGCCGGCCATGAGCGGTGTGGTGCGGACCGAGCGGCTGCGCGGGGAGGCCCCGCTGCGGCTGCCCGGCGACCCCTTCTCCGTGGTGGTTCTGCTGCGGGGCTACGTGGAGCCGGAGGGAGTGGGCGGCGCCGTGCGCGCCGACGGCTCGGTGACCCTCATCCTGCCCTGCGCCTCCAGCCGCCTCCAGCCGCGGCCCGAGAGCGGCGAGGCCAAGACCGCCCTGGAGGAGGCCGCCCGGGGCCCCATCCTCGTGGACACCGGAGGCCCCTGGGCCCGGGAGAGGCTCCTGAAGGCCCTGGCGGAGCAGGGCGTGGCCCCCGCAAACGTGACTCTGGTGGTGGGAACCCACGGACACTCGGATCACATCGGGAACTTGGGGCTGTTCCCAGGGGCCGCCCTGTTGGTCTCGCACGACTTCTGCCTCCCCGGGGGCCGCTACCTTCCCCACGGGCTCGGGGAGGAGCGGCCCTTGCGGCTGGGGCCGGGACTCGAGGTGTGGGCCACGCCCGGCCACGGGGGCCAGCGGGACGTGAGCGTGATGGTGGCGGGCACGGTCATGGGCACCGTGGCAGTGGTGGGCGACGTGTTTGAGAGCGATGGGGACGAGGACTTCTGGCAGGCCTTGAGCGAAGACCCGGTGGCCCAGGAGCGGAGCCGGAAGAGGGTCCTGGGCACTGCCGACGTGGTCGTGCCTGGTCACGGAGCGCCCTTCAGGGTGGTCAGGGAAGCCTGGAATCCAGAGGCAAAGGATCCTGTGGCCACAAATGAGACCGGGAAGACACTGGACGCCTGCGAGGAAAGCCCTCCCACCCAACCCCCCAGCCAAGGAACTGCCGTCTAGATTAAGAGAGGACCCACCCAGGCAGCCAGAGTCAGAGGAGTCAGGGTGGTCACTTCCAGCGAGGACAGAGTGCTCTGACACTGCTGTCACCAATATCACTATTTTTGCAACCAAACTAGGACCAAGAACGGACCAACTGTGCCACCTCTGGGGGCTTCGTTAACAAAAGGGGAGATTATCCTTGGGAGAGTTGTCCCAAATAAAATTTGGAAACTGCATTGAAAATCATACCGCCTTAATGTAAATGTGAAATATTAACAGCGACAGTTATGAAAATGTAATCAACAGCAAACAGGGGACAGCTTTTGGCTAATGGCTTATTTCTCATGAGGTTGCAGGTTGCTGAGAGAAGGTGCAGGACATAGAAGTAACAAACACCACAGCCATCTGACATTAATTTATTCAAGGAATAGTTATTTACCTCTTGCTCTGTCTCAAACACCATCAACAGTGAACAAGTTAGACAAACTCCCGGTCCCTCATGGATATTACATTCTATTGAAACGAACAAGTAAACAGTAATAGGACTAAATCAAATATAGGTTTGGTTAGTGATATGAGAAAAAAAACCAAAAAACACAGGCTGAGAAGGGGATACAGTTCTGAGGGGTGGGTAGTCAGGGAAAGCCTCTGAAATATTTATTTAAAAAAATATATATTTTATTGATTTTTTACAGAGAGGAAGAGAGAGAGAGAGATAGTTAGAAACATCTTTGAGAGAGAATCATCGATCAGCTGCCTCTTGCACACCCCCTACTGGGGATGTGCCCGCAACCAAGGTGCATGTCCTTGGTTCAGAATAGAACCCGTGACCTTTCAGTCCACAGGCTGATGCTCTATCCACTGAGCCAAACCGGTTTCGGCGAGGAGATGATATTTGATCAGAGAACAGAATGAGGAGAAAGCTGGACAGCTTGATCTACTTGAGCAGCAAGAATCCATGGAGTTGGAAGTGGCAATAAATGAAACTGCAGAACTCCTGAGATTGAAGCCTTGGCTTTTGAGCAAGCCAATGACCTGTTCTCATATTTTAAAACAATCACTCCTGTTCTGAATAGAAAAGGGGTTAGAGTGGAGCAAGAATTGAATTGGCTGTGGTTGGGAAGCTTTGCAGTCTTCCAGGTGATAGGAGTTGATGGCAGCTGGCCCATAGCCCAGAAGTCCTCTTCACCACTATCCCAGCCCCCTTGCCCTCTGTCCACACAGCTCTAGGAATGGCAGAGTGCTTAGGTGTGGCAGATGGAGAGGGGGAAGTCCACCTTGTGGGTGATGAGCCTCCCTGGGTGCATGCTACGGTACCAGGCAGGACCAAGCTGGAGGTCATTTTCCAGGTGTCTACAAAGGCCACACACAGGTCAGCAAAGTCAGCTCAGAAAAGCCAGTTCACCTGGAGAGTGAACCAGTCACATGGACTTGTAGGGTGTTGACCAGCTTGATGACCACAAGAGTGCAACCACAGGGGCCCAGATAAAGAGGGCCCCAGGGAAGGTGGTAAAGTAGACCCCAGCATTACCACGGTGTGAGGGTCCTGGCCAGTCCCGGACCTTGGAGTGCAGGGACCAGCTGTAGGCCTCCTAATGCAGCACTGTGCTCTTGAGTGGTCTCCACAGCCATGTAGGTAGATCCTCTGGTTTCAGGAAGGATCTGTGGGGAAGTCAGGGGCTATTTAGAGCTGTGCACTCCTACCTTGAGGACAAATTCCTGTCCTCACTTTCCAGAACATAGGTATTCTGCTCATTACCCAGGCCTGGTCATTCGGGGCAACACATCACTTTGGCCACACTGATTGTCTTCAGGATGGACAGGTCACCTAAACAAGTCTAGTCTTGGTAATAATAAGGTTTTCGCTAGAGCTAGTGGAAAAGTGTCCAGTTTTTTCCTACAAGACTGACATGGAAAGATGCATCATCCTCCCATTTGTCCAGACAGCCCACTGCTGCTGGGGCCACCAAATGAAAACTAAAAGTGAAGCTGATAAGCAGGGCCAAAAATGAGCAGTTAAGAGAAACAGACCTGATGACAAGTTTGAAAGTCAGATCCTCTGCCTCTCATCAGTCACCTGGGCTGACTAATCAATTCCTTTCCTGCCTAAGCTTCTTTGACTGTGTTTTCAGTTGTTTGCAGCGAGAGAAGTTCTGAATGGATACAGATACTGCTGAAATGAGCCATTAAAGGCAGAGAGGATAGGTGGAGAGAGGGTTAACAGAGGGAAAGCAGTGCTAGGGTATTAGGAAGTTGGGCCCAGAGTGTATGCTTAGAAGTTTCTTTAAAGCTGCTTTTTCTGAAAACTCTCAGGAACACTTGTCCTATATGATTAGTTTCCTCTACTCATAAATATTCAATGACTCCACATTACCTGCAGGATAATCCAAACTTTCCTTTAGGTTCCTTTTCAAGTCAGAGTTTGTCCAGTTTGGCTAGACTGCCTGCTTCTAGACAAGCCACACCCCCTCTTTCTCCCGCAGGCCTTTGATTTTGTTCTTTCCCTGGTGTCTTCCCTCTCTTCTTCACTTTCCAGGCTCAACTCAGGTCACCTACAGAAACCTTCCCTGGTGTTCCCAATTCCCAACCCTACTTTAAACTCCTGTAATGCAGTCTCTATATTATTCACTTAGCCTGATATTGGTCATTCTCCCCCCCACCCCCGAAATGTCCTTTCCCCATGATTCCCCTTGAGAGCAGAAACTATGCAAGACACTTCTCTGAATGCTGCCTATAAATGCCATGAAATAAATATATGCTATTTTTCTTTTTAAAAATATATATATTTTATTGATTTTTTAAAATTTTTTATTATTACTTTTTACAAAGAGGAAGAGAGAGGGATAGAGAGTTAGAAACATCGATGAGAGAGAATCATCAATCAGCTGCCTCTTGCACTGGGAATGTGCCCACAACCAAAATACATGCCCTTGACCGGAATTGAACCTGGGTCTTTTCAGTCTGCAGGCCGACACTCTATCCACTGAGCCAAACCGGTCCCAGCAATATATGCTATTTTTCTTATCTACCTGGTTATCTGTTACCTGTTACCCAGCTCTGATTCCTTGTCTAGGATTTAGATGTCAATCCCTGCCCAAGTCGGTGTATGCAAACAAAGGGTTGTCTCTCAATAGGTTGTCTCTATTCACCTCTTCATAAGGCTCCAGGTGTCTTGATATCTCCTGTCATGGACATTCATGGCAGTGTCACACAGATACACCCATCACTGCCATGGGATGGAATTCCTCATCATGTGGATGACATGGCCCACTAGACAGCCTCAAATCCTATCAACAGTGCAGAAGAAACATCTGGAGCAGGACACCATAGAATCCAGAGAGCTTGGTAGCTAGAGGTCCAGCATGGTATGGGGGTCATGAGAAGAAGAATATAACATGCTAACTAGTAAAAAGCTAGCATTTTTTTGAGTGTTTACTGTGTGCCAAGTGCATGTACTATAACCATCCTCTTAAAATAGGGAAATTAAGTGAAGTGAGTTGGTAAATGTCAGAGCAAGCATGTGAATGAAGACTTCCAGACTCCAATGCCCATTCCTTAATTACTCTAGGTAATTAACATAAGTAGGTAATGAACATAACTCTCTAGGTCAGCTAGCCTCTACTCCAAACTATCCCAGCTGCACTCATTCAGCTGCTCTTTTTTCTTGGCTGCCATTTGGCTGTGCGTCAGAGAAGCCCTGAAGGAGAGCTTTGTTGGTCCCATTCCTGGAGAGAAAAATGTCTGTGATAAGAATGAAGGCATGCTGAGGGCTAAAAGCTCGATTTTAGGTAAGAGACTCTTCACAATTTTAACTATGTCTATTTTCAAAAAGGATTCCAAGTGGCTACCGCAGGTGTATGTATATAATCTATATATAAAAGTCTAATGTCCTAGTTGTCCCTTTGATTGACCATTTGACCAGTTGCTATCATGTACACTGACCACCAGGGGATAGATGCTCTGACCAGTCAGTTAGTTTGCTGCTGGGGTCCAGCTGATCAAAACTTGGTGAGATGGGTTGGTCACACCCTGGAGCCCTCCTGGGGTCCCTCCCCAGCCCCAATCGTGCATGGGGACCTCTCGGGAGATGTTGGAGAGATGGTTTCAGCCTGATCCTCGCAGGTCAGACCAAGGGACCCCACTGGTGCACCAGGCCTCTAGTATAGATAGTATCCTATACAATAAAAGGCTAATACACAAATCAACCTAATGGCAGAACGACCAGTTACTATGATGCACACCAACCACCAGGGGGCAGATACTCAATGCAGGAGCTGCCCTCTGGTGGTCAGTGTGCTCCCACAGGGTGTGTGTGTGGAGGGAGTGCTGCTCAGTCAGAAGCCGGGCTCATGGCTGGCGAGCAGTGCTAAGGATGACTGACTGCTGTGGGGAACTGGCCTAAGTCCTAAGTTGGACATCACCTGAGGGCTCTGGGACTGTGAGGGCTGAGAAATCCCGTCCCCTCCCCCCCACACCCTAAGTGCACGAATTTTGTGCATCTGGCCTCTAGTTATTAACATAACGATTAAAAAGAAATAGGTAGAAGGTGAAGATAATTTTATCAGGAACTTGAAATTTTTATCAGGATACTTCCTGAAACTGAACACTACATTCACTATCTCAGTCTGGCTTCATTCTAACCACTCCACCAAAACGGCTCTGGATGACATGACTCATGAATGTCATAATTGACAATCCAAACTTCCTAGCAACACACACACACACACACACACACACACACACACTGGATTTTGTATTTTTCCTTTTGTAGTAATAGAAAATATAAGAGCTTGTTTGGAGAGAAGTTTTTTCTTGTGTTTACATTCCAAAAGGATCAAGGAGTGGATGAAAACAGACAAAAGCATGATTGGAAACAACCAGACCGTTATGAATATGCTTTGAAAGTCATCTAAAGCTGAAACCGGTGTGGCTCAGTGGAGGAGCGTCGGTCTGCGGACTGAAGGGTCCCAGGTTCGATTCCGGTCAAGGGCATGTATGTGCCTTGGTTGCGGGCACGTCCCTAGTAGGGGGTGTGCAGGAGGCAGCTGGTTGATGATTCTCTCTCATCGATGTTTCTAGCTCTCTACCCCTCTCCCTTCCTATAAAAAATCAATAAAATATTTTTTTAAAAAATTCATCTAAAGAATGAGTGAATTAACTTTTATTGTACAAAAAACCACCCCAAAAAGCAGTGGCTTTACACTACAAAGATTACTTCTTACAATCCCGTGAGTTATCTAGACTGCCTTGGCTGGAGCTGAATGATCCAGGGTGGCCTCATCAATCATCGGATGCCTCAGCTGGAATTGGTGAACCGGCGGGGCCTCTCTCTTCGTGGTTTCTCAGTCTCTAGTAGCCAGCCCAGGCTTGTTCACATGGTGGCAGAGGGATCCCAGTGTTAGGACAGAAGATGCAAGGCCACTTGCAGTTCAGGTTGAGGTTCAGAAATTGCACAATATCACATCACCTTCAAAGCAAGCCATAAGGCCAATCCAGATGCAGGGATGAGGAAATAGCCTCCACCTCTTGATAGAAGAAGCTGCAAAGAATTTCTGTGTTTTTGTTTGTTTGTTATTGTTGTAAATGTACTAGGATGGGTGTGTGCATGAATTGGTGAGGCTAAAAGTTCAGTGTTTGGTTAAGTCCTTTTTATACTTTGCCTTTCCCAAATCACACCATACCATTCCCTCCTCACTCCCAGAAGAGGGCAGCAAAGACCATGGTTCAGCTATCGCTGCTTCAGGATACCTTACCTGAGAACTCCATGTCACTAACTCCATGTCCTCCTCCATGTCACTAACATCATTGTTTCCGTGGGAGTCCTGTACAGTATAGGGATCTGGGAAGGCAATGACATCTTAGTCCTGGGAGAAGGACATTGAGAAGAGGAGTAAGTTCAAATTCTGGCTCGCTATTTGCTGGCTGTGTGGCCTTGGGAACCTATAACCATTCTGCTTCTTCATTTCATGTCTCAAATGAGTACATCCTATGCCATATATGGTTGCTTATGTTTATTTATTTATTTTTATTTTTTAATAAATTTTATTGATTTTTTTACAGAGAGGAAGAGAGAGGGATAGATAGCTAGAAACATCGATGAGAGAGAATCATCGATCAGCTGCCTCTTGCACACCCCCTACTGGGGATGTGCCCGCAACCAAGGTACATGCCCTTGATTGGAATCGAACCCGGGACCCTTCAGTCCGCAGGCCAACGCTCTATCCACTGAGCCAAACCGGTTTCGACTAGGGTTGCTTATATTTAAATGAGGTGATGCATGTAAACGCTTAAATGATGTCAGTTATTATTGCAAGGGAAGTAGAGTGGTTAGGCTGGAGGGCAGCCCTTGGGTTACAGGCTGCCTAACAGTGTTCAGACACTTGCAGTCACTGAACAGAAGCACTAGAGAAGGGATCGTGAGCATGAGCTATGTATTGTAGTTTATTTTTGGCAAGAAGGACAGAAGCTGAAATCAATTTTTTTTTAGACGCATGCAGGCAAATCCTACAGGTACTTTTATTTTTGTCAGCAAGGGAACGAGGTGAAGAGGGAACTGGAACAGATGGCTATTTTTCTTAGGTCCTTGGTGGCCTTTGACCCCTGCTGGCTTCTGAGTCATCTGTGTCTAGCTGGGAATAATGGGAAGTGGTGATCCCTCTGTGCAGCTTACTCTTCGGAAGTCATCATTCAGTCACACTCCTTAGGTCTTTTTTTTTTTTTTTTTTAATATATATATTTTATAGATTTTTTTACAGAGAGAAAGGGAGAGGAAGAGAGAGCCAGAAACATCGATGAGAGAAAAACATCAATTAGCTGCCTCCTGCACACACCTTACTGGGGATGTGCCCGCAACCAAGCTACATGCCCTTGACTGGAATTGAACCTGGGACCCTTGAGTCCACAGGCTGATGCTCTATCCATTGAGCCAAACCAGCCAGGGCTCCTTAGGTCTCCAAGATAGAGTACAGGGTCTCTTCCTGAGGGCTCCCGGGGAGAAGGGGGCCAGGAGGTGCTGGCGGTGAGGGGGAGGCCAAACTGGAGAGGGTAAGGGAGGCATAGAGGATGCCATCAGCCTGTGTGAGAACAGAAAGAGAAGGGGTTAGAAGTGGAGGGGGAGCTGACCTCATCTCACATGAGTGATCTCATACCTGAGTGCCCCGCTGATACCTCCGTCCCTCTATTCTTCCCACCCCTTCTTCTCCAAGCTTCTCTTTAATTCGTTCAGGCTCGAGTCAATTTCTTACCTTTGGGTCCGACTTGGAGTTTCTATGTAGTCCTAGGGAAAAAAAAAAAAAAGTGCCAGGATCAGAGCATGGCAGCCAGGGGAGAGAAATGGGCGGAGGGCTCAGTAGTGAGGTCATCTGCTAGGTCAGGACCGGGGGCCGGGGGAGGGAGGGGTGAGGCATGGGAAAGAGGAAAACGCTGGGGGCACGTGTGGGGAGAGAGTGTGTAAGGAAGAAGGAAGGGCCAAGGTGGAGAGAGGGGAGTGGTGGTGGTAGAACTGACCTTCATGCCCAATGTTCTCGTTCTCCTCCTCAGCGTTAGGGAAGGATCCCCTGCGTGGGAAGGAAAGGGTGGGAAGTGGGTTAGAGGCTGGGCAGAAAGGAGTAAAACCTGCATCAGGCTGGTTCTCTTGGGGGCTCTGCGACCTGCTTGGACCGACTCAGAAGATGTAGGCAATGGTTTGAGGCTCTCAGAGGAGGCTGCCTGGACAAGACTGAGAGGCAGTTTGTGGTGTAGGCCGGGAGAGGCCTGAGTGCCCCCTGAAGGAGGACTGTTGTAGGGAGCCACTGTTGTAGGAAGGGCACCGGAGGGGAAACCGGAGGGTGGATTCCTGTCCTCTCTGCTGGCATCGCCTCTGTAAGAACTGGAGAAGGAGAACAGTGACGCTCACCTCACAGCCTCTGGGTGGGTGTCAGGCCTTGGTCCCCAGGAGGAGACACCGTCCTGGGATGGGACCTGAGTAAGGCAGCTGGCAAAAGTCAGGGAGGAAGGAAAGGTGGGAGGGGGTCTAGGGAAGGGAAAGTGTAGAAATGGGAGGAAGGATGGAGAAAAGGAAACTGGTGGGAGGGTGAGGAGGACCAGTGCTCAGGGCAGGAAGGAGGTGCCAGCACAGAGGAGAGGAGGCCAGGCTGGGAGCTGAGGGGGAAGGTGCTCTGAGAAAAGGCAGAAGGTAGAGCAGCTGGAGGCAGATTATTCTTGTGGTTCCTCTGAGCACCTCACTCACCAGGGGGAAAGGCAGAAAGTACAATGAGCAAAAAGAGGGAAAATGTGGGAAAGGTAGATGTGTTCCAGAAGGATGATGCCCAAGATGGGAAGAAAATAGGATGAACAGAAGGAGAAATTTAGGAAGGGGGACAACAGAAGGTGAAAAAGGGATACCAGAGAAAGAGAAAAGGGTGACATTCTGGGAAAGAATCAGAGAGAGTAATTAGATCCTCTGTTCTCAGTAAGAGAAGTGCTGACCTGTTATGGCACATAGGAAAATGTGGATGGGAAAGTCGATGATGAGAGCAGCTGTGAAAGGCTTTCTAGCGCTGTTCTCATAAGGATACTTCCTGCTTCCTAAGTCCTCCCCCTCCCCCGCCCCTCTGTCTCACTATGAAGACGAACACTCACCTAGCTGGGGCTCTGGCTCCAGTTCACAGACCTGCAGAGGAACCAACAGCAGGTCAGCGTGCCATCCATGCTCTCTGCTCCATCCTACTCTGAGACCGCCCTCTGATAAACCAGGGCAGCAGAGCAGCTCTGCTGAAACCCAGGCTGGAAGGGCCTAGGACTCAGTGGCACCAGCTGGCATCCTGAGGCGGCCCCACCTCTCCTGGTTTTGTCCTCAACACCAAGTCAGGAGAGCAGCTCGTCTCTGCACCCTGTGCCCCTTCACTCTGCCCTCTCTTCCTAACTTTCCCTCTGCTTCCTTCCACTTTCCTTGAACTCCTTGCAATGCCTCAACCTTCTCCTTCCACTGCTGAGCCCGGCCCCCCCCTTAAGTAAGACATAAAGCTTAAAAGCCATGAGTAAAAATATTTGTAAGTTCAACTACATACAAATTGTGTTTAAACTTTGCAGTGCAGAATCACTTGCAGAGAGAAACCAAGATGGCGGCATAGGTAAACGCCTAACTGCAACCTCGCACAACAATTTCACAACACAGAGTACTAACCACTATACGATCACGGCGAGCTACTGGGGATTCGCACAACAATTTCAAAAAAATACAACTAAAATACAAAATGAACATTATCCAGAACTACAGGAAAATTTCCACCCCATCATTATAAAATAGTCTCACATGCTCTCTTCCAGTACTAGGGTTATTTTTCTTCTCTGAATCTTTGATCTTCATGAAATTTATTTTGGTGCAAATGATAAGGTAGGGAGATGATGTTATTTTTCTCAAATGGTTATGCAATTGTTCTACTAATATGTATTGGTTAGACATGCTACCTTTTAACATACGAAATTCCTGCATATATTTGGGTCTACTATTATTTTTATCCTGCCTATATTTGAATTTTTTCTTTTCTTCCATTACTTTATGTTTTGTGCTGTGCCAGCACAGCCAAGGGTTCGGTGAGCCTGAGGAGGGGCAGTGAAGATTAAAGAAATGACAGACAAGGGAATACAGCTAGATCTCCTGTGCCTGGGTGAGGCCGAGGCTTTATTTTATAGTGAGATCAAAACAAGGGTAGTGGTTAACATGTTTACAATGTTCTTGTGAGTTTCACCTTGTTTAGGCAGCACTTGCTGCACCTCCCACTGCCCATTAGCTACCCAGGAAGGTACTAGGGAGGGCTACAAGGTCAGGCTTAATTATGCTAGGAGAGCTCTGCCCTCCAAACTGGGATTTGTTTGGGGCCACAGGTCAATCTGAGGCTTGACCCTACAGCCTCTTCCTACAATCTTTTATCTTTTTTTTATGCTAGTATTGTATCACTTTAATTATTGTAGCTTAATAGTTATAAGTGCTGATGCTCATCTAGTTGAAGAATCATTTTTCTCCCTGAACCATGGTCTTTGACCTCTTATGTTCCCTAATTCACTTGGTGGTTTCATCACAGCCTGTTCACCCAAGCTGTAAACATGGGACTTCTGGCTCCCTCACATCTACATCAATCCAACCCCCACATCTTACTTGTTCCTTCTTAATCTTTTCCAAAATCTGGCTCTCTCCTTCCACTCAAGCTGCCACTGCATTAGACTGACCCTAGTCTGGCCCATGTCCGGTTCCTCCACTGCAGACGGGATGTATCTGCAATCCCAAGTGAGGTGGCCATCTGGCTGCTTCACATTGTCTTTGGGATCTAAGGCTCTTGGATGTGTTTTACAAAGTCCTCTTTTCCCATCTCCTGCCTCCTCCATAGCACTGACCTGCTTACAGTTCCACACATAGTTTTCTTCTCCTAAAAGAACAGTGATCTCTACACCACCCAGCTAATTGCCACTTGCCTGGCTAATTCTTTTTTATTCTTTGATACTTTTTTTTGCAGGTGTCACTTCCTCTGGGAAGTCCTCCTTGGTTACCCCCTCCTTTACCACAACTACTTTAGCTCTTTCCAAACGAATCTATAAGCCTTTCAGGCAACTGCTCCTACCTTGCCCTCCCTAATTAGTTCCATGAAGGGGTCTCTTTTTTATTTACTCTTGTATCTCTAATTACAAGTCAGGCCCTTGAAAACAGGTATCCCACCAATGCTTGTTGAGCTCAGTCAACTTTCTGTTTCTTCTTCTCTCTCCTTAATTTTTCATGGCAGATCTCCCCTCTCCATGAACAAAAAGGTGAGGACTGATGAGAAATGATTAAGTCAAGAAAAGTTTTGGAGAGGGGCTGGTTTGGAGCCATGGTTTTGACTCTCAGACAGCACTTGAGAAGATCATTTACAATGAAGATTCCCAAGACTAGACCTCATGCCAGCAGGGATCTGCAATAATCCTGGTGCAGGTGATTATGAGAAACACTCAGTTGGGAAGCCTGGGGAGAGAGCAGGGTGCTGGACCGCTCACCTTGGCTTCTCTTCCACCAGAGGTAGACTATCAGTCCCAAAATTGCGATTTTGAGCACAGTGCTGGCCACTGCCAGGCTGACCACAACTTCCTTACTGAGGCCATCTGTGGTGGTGGTGGTGGTGGTGGTGCTGGTGGTGGTGGTAGGGGTGATGGTGTTGGTGGGGTCCGTGGTGATTTTCTTAGTGGCTGAGAAGACATGAGAAACAAGCAAATATAAACTCTTCCCTAGGTTGGGGAACATTGGGTGTGGGGAGCAACCTTCCGAAGCTCTTACCCCAGGAGGGGAGTGACAAGGAGAAGTGCGGAAGGCTGAGAATCCACATTACTCAGTTCAAATCCTGAATCTACCACCGATCAGTGCTGTGACCTCAGAGCCTCATTTCATCACCTACAAATAGGGATAACTAGATCACAGGATTAAAAAAACCAACCCATTTATTGTGGTCAAAGACACACAGCATAAAATTTACCATTTTAACCACATTTAAGTCAGTACGAACATTTACATTGTTGTGCAACTCTTACCGCCATAACACACCTTTCCAAAATAAAACTCCATCCCATTTCGGCAACTCCCCATTCTCTCTTTCCTCAGCCTCTGGCAACCACTATTCCGCTTTCTGATTTTATGAATTTGACTATTCTAGGTACCTCATAGAAGTGGAATCCCCCAGTATTTGCCCTGGAGACAGGAAAACCTATGTTTAAGATTCCATGCCTCACTAACTAAGATAGGAAGGACTATTAATGCAGCACACCCCATATTGGGTTAAAAATAGGTAAGGACAAGTCAATAGAGGAGGTAAGAGGCTAGTGGTTAAGAGAGTAGGCTCTGGGGTTACACTGGGTTCAAATGCTGTCTGCACCAGCAGTGGGAATTTGGGCCAGTGTTTAGGCTCTGCAAGCCTCAGTTTCCCCATCTGTAACATAAAGATGATAGCAGTACCTACTGTTATTGTGGGGTCATGTGCAGACTCATTAGGGCAGTGCATACCGAGGATTCAGCCGGACACAGTGCACAGCCTGCAGGAACTGCCCTCACTGCTGCTGCCGAGGGGCGGCTAACAACCAGCACAGAGGAGCGGGAGCAGGAAGGAGAAGGGGACAGCACAGAGGCTCCCATGTTGGGGGCGGGGGTGGAGCTCTGAGAGAGGCAAGGAAGGTAAAGAGGATTAAGAAAGGAAGAGGGAGATGGGGAAGGAGAATAAAGAAATGGGACTGAGGCCGAAACTGGTTTTCCTCAGTGGACTGAAGAGTCCCGGGTTCGATTCCGGTCAAGGGCATGTGCCTTGGTTGTGGGCACATTCCCAGTGGGATGTGTGCAGGAGGCAACTGATCAATGTTTCTCTCCCATCGATGTTTCTGGCTCTCTATCCTTTTCCCTTCCTCTCTGTGAAAAATCAATAAAATACATAAAAAAAAAAAAAAAAAAGAAAAGAAAAGAAAAGAAAAAGAAATGGGACTGGGGAGGGAGAATTGAGGGTCATGTTCTGGGAAGCAGGGAGATTGGGACAACAGGTGCTGGGGTGTTACCAGGGGCTGAGGGGAGGGGTGGGAGATCCTTGGGCAGCTGTTGGGTCCCTCCTGTGTGTGTGAGGCTGAGCTCATGGCTGTGGGACACTGACAGGGGCCAGCGGGGACTCCACCTACAGACACAGGACAAAGGAAAGGCAGGCCACATCCTGTAAAAGCCAAGGCCACCTGGAGGACATGGGGTGAAGGCAGGAGGCAGGGCTGCAGCCCCACTTGGAGCAGGAAGGGAGATAACCAGGTGGGAGGTGCTGAGGCCTGGGGGTGGGGTAGGGGCTGGGTCTGGAGGGGGCAGTGAGGAGGATGGGCAAGGAAGGTAGCCTGAGTTTGGGGGAGAAGAAGGTGAAGAAGGAAAAGCTGGCAGAGGCCTGGGAAGCAGGCGGGGGCAGGGAGAGGAGTCTGAGAGAAAGGTTGGGAAGAGAGGAGCCTGGACGAGGACCCAGGGGCCGGGGCAGCGGGACTCACCTCTGGTGATGGTGAGGCGGGTCCCTTCGATGGACTGCCACTCCTTCTCGCCATCGTCCCGTGTGGTCAACCGGACTCGGAAGAAGTAGTTACTCTCATCCTCTCTCCGCAGGTTAGAGATCCGGAGGGAGCCACTCGTCTGGCCCTTTGTCCAGTTCAGGGAGAGGCGGTTTTTAAAATTCTCATGGGTGAACGGCGGGGTTGTGTTGTAGATGAACTCTCCATGGAAGTGTTTCCATCGCCAGGATATACGCACGTTGGGATCGCTGGCTAACTGCCAGGAGTAGCAGAAGGAGAAGGGGATGTCGATGGAGCCACCCTCAGGGGCTGAGAGGTGCCTTGGTAGGTAGACTCCAAGGGTAGGGTTTAACTTGCATTCTGCTGAGCCACCTGGAGGAGGGAGGAAAAGGGAGGGACTTTGAAGCCACTTGGAGGGACCAAGAAGCTAACCCCCGCCCATCTGGCGCCCTCACCTATGGGCGGAAGTATGTCACATAATAGGACTGTCCCTCTGGCTGGGTTTGGGGTAGAAAGGAGGGTGAGGGATGTGGGGGACCCGCCCAGCCCATTGCTTGTTGCAGGTGGGAAGCCTGGCTGACCACAGCCCCTCCCGGGCTCCCCTGGGACCCTGTCAGAGCCAGGGCGTCCTGGCCACTCACCAGCCTGCAGAGAAGCTGCCGGCAGCAGGGGCAGCAGCAGGGGCAGCAGCAGGGGCAGCAGCAGGGGCGGACCCATCGCCTTGCTCTCCTGGGCAGTGAGACAACAAGCAGAGCTAGCGGAGGGCAGGCTCGGTGGAGGGGCGGCCTCAGGCTAGTCTGACCATGGGGAGGGCAGGATCAGGCTCCTTCCGAGGCCTGGGGGGTGGGAGCCTTCCCCAAACAGCCTGCCCCAGAACGAGCAGCACTTCCTTTTACAATCTGGCTTCCTTTCTGATATTGCAGAAGAGCTTCCCCTGTGGTCAGTGACCAAGAGCCATGATATGGCCCCGTCCCCATCGTCATGCTGGCAGGTGTGGTCCTGACTGTTATGCCCAGATTTCAAGATCTGCAAGGACCACCAGGGGGCCGAGTCCGATGCAAAAGCAAAGAGCCTTTATAAGCCGGCTGGGCGAGTAGCTAGCGGGCGACTGCTCTGCCTTTCTCCACGCAGGGAGACCAGAGAGCACCCGCGACCCTTCCTGTGGGACCACTTTTAAGCCCATTAACCACATCCTGTTCTTGCAGAACAAGTAACCCAACAAAACGGTTTTTCCCAACTACATCAGAGTCATGCCAGAGACAGCCATGTTGTTCACAGGGTCATCCTGTTCTTCAGAAAGCTGACAGTGATCTATGATAGAAGGCCCACGTGCTGGGAAGGGGCCATGAGACCCTGTCTCAAGGCCTGGCCTGGTGTCAGCACTGACAATTCTATCTGGGCACAGTCCACGGCCTCTCTGGAAGCATGCTCAAAAATTCCCACTCTCCAACACTGACCTTGGCTGCCGGGACCTCTCCCTCCCGCCTCAGCTCTCTGTCTCTGCCAGGGACTTTCTCATCTCCTTGGGAGTCAGTCCCATCTCTCTGTCCCTCACTCCCTCTCCTTTTCTCTGCTTCTCTGAGTGCCTCTCAGCCTGTTTCTCTCACTGTGGGGGAAGGGGCAGCAGCAGGACCAGCTCAGGCTCTTTCAGGAGAGGAAAGGCAGCCAGGAGTATGTCCAGCCTGGGCCCCTGGGAGGGGAGGAGGGAGGCGCTGGTGGAGATGCCCTCCACCCCAGGGGCATCCAGCTGGCTCTTGGGCCCTCGCCCTCCCCTGCCATTCACGGGCAGAAACAAGACCCGCAGGCCCCAGTCTGTTCCCTCTGCAGCTCACACCCTCGCTGGGGTTGGGAGGTGAGTGTGGGCTGACACTTCCATCTCCCCAGAGAGTGGGCTTTCTGGAGCCACGCCTTCACCCACAGAACTCAGGTGTGGCTCTGAGGGCCTCTGACTTCACCCTTCACGTAGACAACCAAGGCTCGAGAGGGTGTGCCCAGTCCATGGCCCTCAAGTGGTGGGTCCAGGACTGGATCCCCACTCTTGCTGAATCCCAGAGCCTCTGGATGCCAGATGCTGGTTGCACCAGAGTCTCTAGGCCTCGGCACCAGATGCAGAGCTCTGAGGCCTAGCTGCAGGAGGCTGTGCTTTTATAATGCTCCTTGGATGATCCCGTCCACCGCTGTGGGAGCCCTGGCTAATCCAGAGTCTTCCCTGGACAGAGGGGGTTAAGCTCAGAGCAGTAATGGGGTCACCCAGTGACAGCCCCTGGGGCCACCCCTACTGGAGGGCACTGCCAGCCTGTGACGGGAGGTGACTCACAGGAGGCTCTGCCCATGGCTCCCCAGAGTGAGCTTGGCATCAGCTTGCTGAGTAGACTGTGGGAGTGGGTGGACATGACTGCATCAGAGGAAGTGACCTTGATTGGAATCGAACCTGGGACCTTTCAGTCCGCAGGTCTACCCTCTATCCACTGAGCCAAACCGGTTTCAGCCCAACTGCTTTTTAAATCAGTTTCTTCCCCTTTTCTCCCACAGCCAGCCAGGCAGCCCGCCTCTCTGTGTGTCTGCTTTTCATACCCTTCCTGCCAGGCCTGGGAAAGAGGTTTCACATTTGTATGGAGGCCTCTTCTCTGACTCAGTCACGAAACATCCGTTGCCTCATTTCAGCTTTACAACATTCTGTGGGGGGTGTTGTAATCTCCATTTTACCCACAGGGAAGTTGAGGCGCAGAGCTTAACGTCATTCAGTCCTCTGGGCTGTGAAAGATGCTTGGGTGGCCTGGCCAGCGTGGCTCAGTGGTTGAGCATCAACCTATGAACCAGGAGGTTTGGGTTTGATTGCCACTCAGGGCACATGCCCGGGTTGTGGGCTCAGTCCCCAGTGTGGGGTGTGCAGGAGGCAGCCAATCAACGAGTCTCTCTCATCATTGATGTTTCTATCTCTCTCTCCCTCTCCTTTTCTCTCAAAATTCAATAAAAATATATATTTTTAAACATTAAAAAAATAAAATCTCAATTTAAAATGAGCTAAATATTTGAATAGATATTTTGCCAAAGCAGATAGATGAGTAACTAATAAGCATGAGAAGATGGTAATACCATTAGTCATTGGGGAAATGCAAGTGACCACCACCATGAGGTGCCATCAAACACCTGGTAAATGACTAACATTAAAGAGTGGATCAGACCACCTGTCCGCAAGGATGTGGAGCAACTGGAACTCTCAGACACCACGGGGGGATGTGAAATGGCACCATCACGTTGGCCGTTCCGTAAAAGTTAAGCACACACCTAACATATGACCTAGTCATACCGCTCACCGGTATGGCAGTGCTGACCAGCCAGGCCAGCACCACCTGGGAACTTGTAAGACATGCTCACTCTCAGGTCCCACCTTGACCAGTGAGGTTGAGAACCACCAGAGTTTGACTGAGGGCCTGCCTTGTGTGCTCCTTTAATTTTCACAGCAATTCTGTGAGATGCAGGAATTTCATTCTCACCTCACAGAGAGAGAAACAGACACTCCAAGAGTTTCCCGCTCTCCCATCTCCTCTCTTCCTCTGGCGTGTGAACCTCCCTCAGGTCTATGGGCCTTGTGAGCTGGATGCTTAACCCAGTGATTGCTCCCAGACCCTCCCAGCTTATCCTCCCTCCCTCCCCCCTCCTCCCACAGCCTTTCGCAGAGAACGGTGACCATTGTGCCTCATTCAGCTGCTGCTCACCAAGGACTGGGGAAGCAAAGAGTGCGGTCCCTGAGGTGGGGCAGGCCCGGGAGCCATGGCCCAGTGACACGCCGTCTCTGAGGGACAGGAGAGGAGGAGAGACTCGGGGGACAGTCTTGGTCCCTGGCCTTCCCCATAGTCTGTGCCTCTGCTGAGGTCCCCCTCTTTACTTCCCCTGTTTTCCCTCAGGGCAGGGGACCCGAGAGGGTTCATCCTGGCCCGGGGGGTGGTGGTGGGGGGGCGGCGGGCCCGCAAGCCTGCAGTGAGCCCTCCAGGAGTCAGAGTCCCTCTGAGAAGGGAAGACTCGCCATGTGACACTCGTAGAGGGACGCCCAGACCCCAAGTTAGAGCTGAAACAGGCAAGGATGACCCTCCCACTTTCTGGGTGCCAGGAGGCTTGCAATTGTATTAAAGATGTTTCTTATTCACTATATCTTTTTTAAAAAAATGTTTCTTTTATTTTTTTAAATTTATTTTTGAAAGTATTACAGATGTCCCCTTTGTTTGTCCTTCCGCCCCCCCACCCCCACCCCAATTGACCCTCTCCGCCCCACACCGGCCCTCCCTAGCCTTTGCCACATCACTGTCTGTGTCTCTGGGCTATAAATTCCTCACCTCTCACCCCCATCTTCCCTCTGAAATTCATCAGTCCGTTCATGGTCCTGTGTCTCTGGATCTATTTTCTTCATCAGTTTATTTTATTCATTAGATTCCACATATGAGTGAGATCATGTGATACTTATCTTTCTCCTACTAACAATATATTAAAAAGGCCAAATGGGATTTATTCTGGGGATGCAAGGCTGGTACAATATTCACAAATCAACAAGTGTGATACATGACATAAACAAATTGGAAAACAAAAAATCACATGATCATATCAATTGATGTAGAAAAAACATTTGGTAAAATCCGACACCCTTTTTTATTTTTATAAAAACATTTGAGAAAGTTGAAATAGAGAGATCATACCTCAACCTAATAAAGGTCATATATGACAAACCTACAGTCAACATCATACTCAATGGGCAAAAACGAAAACCATTTCCCCTGAGAACAAAAATGTTCGCTGTATTCTTGTGGCTTTCTTTGTTGTTTTTTAAAAATATATTTTTATTGATTTCAGAGAGGAAGGGAGAGGGAGAGAGAGAGCGAGTAACATCAATGATGCATGTCTGTGGTAGAAGGAGAGAGGGAAGAGAATGGCACTGGAGTGCTCCCTGAAGAGAGAGAGAGAGAGAGAGAGAGAGAGAACACCCATTTTTGCCTTTTAAATTGAAAGGTTAAAACTGTGATAAATAGCAAAAATGTGTTTTTTGTTTTTTTTTTCTTATGAAAGAATTTTTAAAAAAATATATATTTTATTGGTTTTTCACAGAGAGGAAGAGAGAGGGATAGAGAGAAACATCAATGAGAGAGAATCATCGATCAGCTGCCTCCTGCACACCCCCCACTGGGAATGTGCCCGCAACCACAGTACATGCCCTTGACCAGAATTGAACCCGGGACCCCTCAGTCCGCAGGCCGACGCTCTATCCACTGAGCCAAACCGGTCCTGGCACTCATGAAAGAATTCTGTAAGAACTGAAAGCTGACACAGGTTTGGGTTCCTAAGACCCAAGCTGTGAAGAAGTGGCTGTGACTGTGACACACTGTGCCATATTAAGGTAAAATAACTCTGATAAGGACATGGGGCGGGGGGGGGGGGGGAATGGCGGGAGAGTGGAAAGTTAAGCTGGTATATATTTATCGCACCTTTATTCTTCAGCATTATTTCACCAGTGAGGCTAAAAATTTACAAGTTGTTATAATGCAGTGTTTTGTGTTTGTTTTTTTGGATTTGAATTAATTTAATTTTTTTAATTTTTAATTTTTTAGCAAAAACAGAAATATATTATTTTGGGCTGCAAACATTGCCCAGCTCCTCTGTTGCCTGGAGACAGGATGCCTTAAGACAGGGAGGTGGAGCAGGTTACCAAACACTGGATAGGTGGAGTTTGGAGGGCGGTAGGTGGCTCAGCCTCTGGCCAAGCCTGCCCAGGCGTTGCACCTGTGCCCTGAGTTTCTTGG